ATTTATTAACTTATTTTTCCAGTGTTATTGTGATATAATTGACGATATAACATTGGATAAGTTTAAGGTGTACAGCATCAAGATTTGATATAAGTATATATTGCAAAATGATCACCACAGTAACTTTAGTTAACATCCATCACCTCACATAGATACAATTTTTTTTTCTTGTGATGAGAACTTTTAAGAACTACTCTCTTAGCAACTTTCAAATATACAGTTGCTTCTGTTTGTAAACCGGTATCATTCATTCTGCAGATAGGCTCCCTGAGAACAGTGAGAGAGACTGGGTTCAAGGAGGACAATCAAGGGGCTGTTGGCTTCACTCCCTGTGGAAAGTGACAGTGACTAGAACTGGGGTGGTAGCAGTGGGATGGAACAAAGTGGACAGGTGTGTACGAGAGTTCTTTCAGGGTAAATGTCAGAGACTGATGATAGATTGAATATGTAGGGAAAAGGACAGGCGTCAAAGATGATGGTGCTTGAGCATCTGGCCATGCCAATCACCAAGAGAGAAGATGATGGAAGGAGCAACAGGTGGAGGTGGGGTGGGGTGATGATGAGCTCAGTTCGGAACATATTAAGTTTGTGAAGCTTCTGGATCATCCAAGTAGAGAAGAAAGTAGTCTGGCAGTATGTGTCAACTGTCATAAAAATGTTTCCACTTCTGGGCATCTCTTTTAAGATAGTAACATTAAAGAATATGCACAGAGATAGTCTTTACAATATTATTTATAACATCAAAAAATGAGAAGCAACTTACGTGTCCAACTCTGAAATAATTACTGAATAAATCATGTACACTTAAAAATTATACTTCTATAAAAATATAATTACAAAGACTGTACAATATGGTAAATGCTTATGACGCATTAAGTGAAAAAGCAGGATACAAAATTATATTTTAGAGATTGATTGCAATTAGGCTAAAATATATGCACTTGAAAAGTATTCTGCAAGGTACATTGGAAAATGAAAATCGTGATCTTGGTAATAGAAGTTAATTGTTTTTATATCCCACGTTTTATGTAATGTTTTTATATTGCTTTTATAATTTGAGGAAAAAAATAAAACATTTCAAAGCACCCAAAACGTATGCTTATGCCTATTTATGTTATCTTGAAGTGAATTAATTTGAAATCTTACTAATTATAAATGCAAATCAATGTTATGTAAAAGCAAGAGAACTTCTAACGGTTTTTAAAATATTTATTTTATTTCTGTATTTACAAATATATTTCACAGTTATCAAGGAAAAATATGGTCTTTGCTAAGCAGTTAATAAGGGGATAGAAATTGGCTTTATATGAAGTTTAAAAGTTAACAAATTGTTGTAAATGGAATATATTTCTTTTTTTTAAATTTTTATTGTAGTGTAGTTGATTTACAGTGTTGTGTTAGTTTCTGCTGTACAGCAAAGTGAATCAGGTATACATAGACATATATCCACTCTTTTTTAGATTCGTTTCCCACATAGGTCATTACAGAGTATTGAGAAGAGTTCCCTGCGCTATACAGTAGGCCCTTATTAGTTATCTATTTTTTATATACTAGTGTATATATGTCAATACCAATCTCCCAGTTTATCCCTTCCCCCCCCACCCCATCCCTTTCCCCCTTGGTAACCATAAGCTTGTATTCTACATCTGTGACTCTTTTTCTGTTTTGTAAATAAATTCATTTGTACCATTTTTAAAGATCCCACATATAAGCAATATCATATGATATTTGTCTTTCTCTGTATGACTTACTTCACTCAGTATGACAATCTCTAGGTCCATCCATGTTGCTGCAAATAGCATTATTTTGTTCTTTTTTTTTTTTTTTTTTTTTGTGGTATGCGGGTCTCTCACTGTTGTGGCCTCTCCCGTTGCGGAGCACAGGCTCCAGACGCGCAGGCTCAGTGGCCATGGCTCACGGGCCTAACCGCTCCGTGGCATGTTGAATCTTCCCGGACCAGGGCACGAATCCTTGTCCCCTGCATCGGCAGGCGGACTCTCAACCAGTTGCGCCACCAGGGAAGCCCTATTTTGTTCTTTTTTATGGCTGAGTAATATTCCTGTAAATGGAATGTGTTTCTATTCACTAATCATCAAAATTCTTTACCAGTGGTTTTTTTTTTTTTTTTTGCAGTACGCAGGCCTATCACTGTTGTGGCCTCTCCCATTGCGGAGCACAGGCTCCGGATGCGCAGGCTCAGCGGCCATGGCTCACGGGCCTAGCCGCTCTGCGGCATGTGGGATCCTCCCGGACCAGGGCACAAACCTGTGTCCCCTGCATCAGCAGGCAGACTTTCAACTCCTGCGCCACCAGGGAAGCCCCACCAGTGGTTTCTTATATCTACTTTTTCTGAACTTATAAATGTTTAACTTGATTTTAAATTTCAATCCATTATATACTATTTGTCTCCCAAAGACACCATAGTTTTTAAAAAGTCTTTCAAATTAAGTCCAAATATAAAATTCACATAAAGAGCAACCAAATGAATCTGTGTAATGGTACTCTGGGGCACAGTTGTCAATTAAGGGTGTGACTTCATACTTACATACTTTTGAATTTTTGTGCCATACTTTTATTTCATTTTTTTTTAAAAAAACAGCTTTTTTATTGAGGTATACTTTACATACTATACAATTCACCTATTTAAAGTATATATAACTCAGTGGATTTAGTTTATTGACAAAGTTGTACAGTCATTACCACAGTCAATTTTAGAGCATTTTTATCCTCCCAACAGTCCCCTCTCACACCCATTAACAGTCACCACCACCACAATCCCCAGCCCTAGGCAACCACAATTTATTTACTTGCTGTCTATAAATTTGCATATTCTGGACATTTCATATCAATGGAGTCATACAATATGTGGTCTTTTGTGACCAACTTCTGTCACTTAGCATATTGTTTTCAAGGTTCATCCATGTTGTTTCATGTACAGTACTTCATTCCATTTTATGGCTGGGTAAAGTATGGATATTTTACTTTGTATCCATTCATTAGTTGATGAGCATTTGGGTTGTTTCCACTTTTTGACTATTAAGAAGAATGTTGCTGTGAACATTTATGTACAAGCTTTTTGGTAGGCATATATTTAAGTTTCTCTTAGGGTATATACTTAGGAGTGGAATTGGTGAGATATATGGTAACTCTGTATTTAACCTCTTGAACTGCGAGGCTGTCTTCCAAGCACTTGCACCATTTTCCATTCCCACCAGCAGAGTAGGAGAGTTCCAGTTTCTCCCCATCCTCGCTAGCACTTCCTACTGTCTGTCTTTTTCATTGTAGCCATTCTAATGGGTGTGAAGTGGTATCTCATTGTGGTTTTGATTTCTATTTTGCTGATGGCTAATGATGTTGAGCATCTTTTCACGCACTTATTGGACATTTGTATATCTTCTTTGGAGAAATATCAGTTCAGATCCTTTGTCATTCTGAAATTGTATTATTTGTCTCTTTGTTATAGAATTGTTAGAGGCTTTCATATGTTATAGGTATAAGTCCCTTATTAGACATATGACTTGTAAAGATTTTCTTTTGTTCTGTGGGTTGCCTTTTCACTTTCTTGATGATGTCCTTTGAAGCACAAAGTTTTAAAATTTGATAGAATCCCATTTATCTATTTTTTCCTGTTATTGCTGGAACTTTTGGTGTCATATCTAAGAAACTGTTGCTTAATTCAAGGTCATTAAAATTTGTGTCTGCTTTCTTCTCAGAGTTTAATAGTTTTAGCTCTTACATTTAAGTCTTTGATTTTTTTTTGAGTAAATTTTTATATGGTGTGAGATGGGGGTCCACCTTCTTTTTTTTGCATGTGGATATCCAGTTGTTCTGGTACCATTTGTTGTAAAGACTATTCTTTCCCCCATTGAATTGTCTTGGCACCTGTGACAAAATCAATTTACTAAAGATTTTATTTTTGGACTCTGAATTCTGTTCCACTGATCTACATGCCAAGCCTTAACGATAATACCACACTGTCTTCATTACTATTGCTTTGTAGTAAGTTTTGAAGTTGGTAATTGTGAGTCTTCCAACTTTGTTTTTCTTTTTCAAGAATTTTGTGTGTGGGTGGGTCCCTTGAATTTCCATATGAGTTTTAAGATCAGTTTGTCAATTTCTGCAAAGAAGACAGCTGGAATTTTGATGGGTCTATTCCATTTTGTAAGTAGTTATAGCATTGTCAATAGGAAAAGAAATAATATTTATTTAGAGTAATTTCCTGGTTTTCCCTTTTCTTTCGGAAAAAACCTATGAAATTCCTACCCTCTTAAGCTGCTCCAAGATTATTTAAATGCTATTATCACTATCTTCACTTTTATTGTGAAACTCTTACTGGCAAATTGAATAGAGTTCTTTTCCCCTAGTTGCCAAGATACACATCAAGAAAATACATTTTGTTTGCCTAATTTGTATTTACCAAACTATAGTTTTTCTTTTATATTAGCTTCTTAAAGATTGAAGGACCTTATAATGAGGAACCTAACAGTAGGGGTCTCTGCAGTAGGAAAGCTGATGGATAAAACTCTTAGGTAGAATGGAGAAGTCTGCCTACAGCTCCACACCTCCAGGATGTAATATCACAATCTTATTAAAAATGAAATCAGATGAAGATTTATTACTGATAATTATTTTAGTGATAATATTATTTTCTAAACAATTTACTTTAAGAATATTTTTGAATGTAGTCTACCAAATATTGTAATTGAAATATGATACATGATTATTTTGAATTAAATAGGGTGAAAAAATTTTTAGAAATTAACAGGGAATCAAGAGAGTGTCTCGTACACCAAAGCACCCAGTAAATATTGGTTGAATAAAGGAAAGAATGAAAAGAAGCCCCTACATGAATCACTGCTTTTAAAGCCCAGGCCCCTACCTTAGGGATGATTGTAGATAATCCCTCAATTCAAAAGGATAAATCCTGCTTTCAGGGTAGATTGTTTTTCAGTGTTTCCAATTTTCTTAAAGGATAACCTGAGTGTTTCACATTTTTGCAGCGTTTATGTCATGGTTGGTGCCGACGTTCCATTTTCTTCTTGTTTACGAGAAGTTGAAAATCCTCAGAATCAATTGAGATGCAGTCAAGAAATGGAGCCTGTAATAACGTGTGATAAAAAATTTCGTACTCAATTTTACATCGACTGGTGCAAAATTTCGTTGGTGAGTTTTTATTTTGTTTTTGCAAATGTAATTAGAAGTGATGTGGCTGGAGATAGCATTTGACTAAAACCTGAACTGCTTTTAGGAACAAATCCTGGGTTTACTTTGTTAACTGTCGTTGACTTCCCTTGACTTTAAGGATTTGGCAAGTCCGCTGAAAGTGCATCCATTTAAGAAATAGTACCTCCACTTTTGTACTCAGTCTACTCTTGATTAGTTGTGGGGGCCAGATTAGCTTGGCAGGTGGTCCAAGTGTTCCCCCTGGACATCCAGGTGGCTGCTAAGTCAAGATAGATTTTGGAGTCAGTGTGACATGTGCAGGAAGCCTCACATATGCTGCCACTGTCCCACTTGGGAAGGGGAGACCAGAATTCAATCACAAATCTGAAATAAAGCAATATTGTGCTATGATTCAATGTCCTAGAAACGCAGATTGCAGGGAGAGACCAAGGAATAAAAGGAAAAGCAGAGGAAAGTTAGACTCTTACCCCCAGCCCCGTAAATATTAAGTATTTCTTTCTAAATCACTTTTTTATTAGCATGCTCAAAGACTTAGGAACATATGGGTAAGATTTCCTGTGTGTGAAAGGTATATATGATATTTTATATATAATTTGTATTAAATTTTTTGATCCTCCTTTCTGGAAGATAGGAAAGTTGTTTCACTTCTTTAGCGACCTTTAGATTTAACTTCTCTCAACTCTTGATGATTGGTGGTGAGTGAATTAGGTCTAAGTTTAAAGTTGACATTTGAACAAATATCAACACATAAACACAACTGTCACTTCATGTCTTAGAGAACCAGCGGCAGGCACTTTTCCCAGATCCAGGGTGGGAGAACATACTGCTCACACTGTGGCACTTACCACCTGTGACCCTTGGCCCCAGGCTCCTCTTTCCATGTCGCTGTGTCTTAGGAAAATAATGCTCTTTCCCTGTCTTCTCAAATCAAGTAAAATTATTCAGATGCTGTGGTTTATGTGTATTATTTACAAAGCTCAATATTTCAGTCATCATGCTAACCGTACAAGGGTGCTAAAGACTGAGTGGCTGCAGTCACAACTTAAATAGATGCCTCTCACCGGAGCCAGTAGACAGCGGGCCCTGACAACACCATTTTATTTGTGCTTGTGCTGTACAGTGTTCATATTTAGGAAAATTATCTAATTTCTAAAGGTTTAAAAATGACTTCTGCTTTGAAGGTTTTAATTTCTGTGGTAAGACTTCATAAGAGAAAGGTTGGGAATTTTCGGTTTTTTCTTTTACTTGTATTTATTTATAGGTCACATCTTACCACAGAAGATTTCAGGAGGTTTAAATTAAAGGGTCAGACAATAAACATAATATATAAAATATAAAAGAACTGGAAAATCAGGACCTAAACTTGACCAAAACATAAGCCTAAGGTCAGGTTTGACAATAAGCCTCCTAATGTTCCAGATTAAATGAGGAAATTCATCTGTTATTTGGTTCTCATTCTTAAAGGAGGCAGAGCATCAATTCCTTGGCAGAAGATAAAGTTTTTACTAGCACTGTATCATTAACAAAATTCTTCCAGTGGAGTTTTATGGGAGAGGATACTGAGAAATGCCACAGATAATTCTCCCCAACATTCTTTTAAGCCGCGAGCAAATGTAGTAACAAGTTTCACATGGCTATTTTTGTAGTGCCCTTCAGTAAAAACCGTAGCATAATTAAATGCAACATAGTGAAAGCAGCTCAATTACTGTGGAGGTAAATTAATATAGTCCAACTGTTGTACATTTTTTGAGCCTGGAATAGAATTTATTGAAACTGTAGCATTGGATGGGTTACCTGTTCCTTAAACTATCTTTCCTAAAAACTACTTCTGTCAGCTGGATGGCAGAAAGATCAAGGTTGTAGTCACGTAGAAATTGTCTCTCTCTCTCTTTTTTTTTTCTCTTTTACTAACCTTAGAAACCATACTCACATACTGTGAGTATGAACTGGCTGTGAACTCAGCCAGTTCACAGTTTGTAACATCTGCACTAGAGATTTGTCACTAGGAAACAAGAAATATACAGAGTGGTGTGAAGGACTTCTGCTTTGGAGGAAGTAAACTGAAAAAGAACAACTGTACACACACACACCTACACATGCACACATATTTGTTATATTTGTATACACTTATGTATGTATATATGTTGTGGGAAGGACCTAGAAAGTAGGCCAATATACACCCTTTAATTTATTACTTTTATGCATTACTTCTTCCTAGTTTCCATAAATAATTACAAGTTCAAGGTGATAAAGTAATTGGAAAAGATTGCTTTTTAGAAATTAGTCAAAGACTGTCTTGATATGTCTAGATCTTAAACTCATAATGTTTGCAACTATTAATTCGATGTGTAATTGTCTTCTTTTGTGTCAGGTTGATAAAACAAAGCAAGTGTCCACCTATCACGAAGTGATTCGTGGAGAAGGGATCTTACCTGATGGTGGAGAATACAAACCCCCTTCCGATTCTTTGAAAAGCAGAGACTATTACACGGATTTCCTAATTACACTGGCTGTGCCCTCGGCAGTAGCATTGGTCCTTTTTCTAATACTTGCTTATATCATGTGCTGCCGACGGGAAGGAGTGTGAGTACTTTAAAGCACTAATAAAAAATTATAGAGCTACTAAGATAACATATAAGATCCCATTAAAAGCCAAGTTTCATTTAGTGCGTAAAACACTTTATAAATGAATTGAAATTGTGTTCAAGTCAAACTACAGTACTTTATTCCTTTAAAATGAAGTAAAATAGTTTTGAGTCTAGTAAATTAAATTAGAGGTTATAATTACTTTATTCAAAAATTATTAAGGCTAGATGTAAATTCTTGCAGGCAAAACAGTCCCAAGAATAACTGAGGCTAGATATTTTGGTTATACAAGCCATCCTGTGTAAGCAGAGACTGCGGAATCTATTGACATGGTAATAGCACTTTAAATAAATAAATTGTCTCAGTCAGTTTGATCAGAAATGATGGTCAGAATTTTTCTTGAAATTGTTCTGCTATCAAACAGGGCGATACCACCTAAATATTTAAAGGTATATATAGATATATAAAAACTTAGGAGTAAATTAATGAAAAAAAGATGATAATTTGAGTAATGAGTCTTCACTTCATGAATAGTTAGTTACTTTCTGGACATCTGTGTCAATTAAAATAATCTCCCGAGATTATCTGGAAGTCAGGGTAACAAAACAAAGGATAAAAAATTAATAAAGCAGCAAGTAACAAATTCTTCCATTTTTACATGTAGCCTGATTTCATTATGTCATGGAACTTATTTCCAAGAGCTTGATTCTTAATCTCCATTTTTTTTTTCATTTTTTCCTGTGCGTTTCTCACCAGTATTCCATCTCTGTATGTGTACTCATCCAAGTAACGTCATAAACCTGGTGGCAAATGCTGCCTGGTTGCGTTTAATAGTAACAGTGTCAGCATTTCCACCTCGTGCAAGATCCATGAGCATATAGTCTTAATGTTCCAAATATCAATGCTATTATTTAATTCATAAATTTTGTTTTGTTTCTAGGGAAAAGAGAAACATGCAAACACCAGAGTAAGTGTCTTCTTCCTGTTATTTTCTTTTTCATTTCTCAGTTGCTTCTCATGCTCCATACATGTGTGTCATGCTTTTTTTTTTTCCATTCATCATCTTTCATAGTTTATTTCATAAATGTGAAAGCTGCTTTCTAAATAGAGATATTTAGGAGGGGTGAGACTAAAAATAAAAAGTGTGTGAAAACTAAGATTATATAGATAAAAATTAAAACTAAAATATTTCAGATTCAGAATATTAACTTGCCATTTATATTATGTGATTTCCCAATCTGCATTTCTATAAACCAGAGAACAGATGAAAAGACCTTTCATACACGTTTTCCTGAATCTACAGTAATAACGTACCATAAAATGAAACTTCTGTGAGTATTTATAAATGCCCCATCAGAAGCAACAATATAAAAGCTATGGTAGTTTTATCTTAATCGTAGAAATTAAATAGAATAGTAGTTTGCTACCTAGGGCTGTAATAGTAACACAGTGCTTTATAGCTCACTTTAATGAGAGATGCATTTATTTAAAAATTAGTTTCTAATTTTCAGTTTTGTTATGTTAAAAGTATATGAAATGTATCTTTTTCTGAAATAACTTGTAGAATGCCCAGAGTTAAATGATGTCTTCTTATTTTAAAAAGAAAAAATGATTTTGTAACTTTTTCAAACTGATGACCTGTGGGGCTAGTATGTGATTTTAAATATATGTGGTTTTATTTCTTTTTGACCTAGCATCCAACTGGTCCATCATAGTGCTATTCAGAAATCTACCAAAGAACTTCGTGACATGTCCAAGAATAGAGAGATAGCATGGCCCCTGTCAACACTTCCTGTGTTTCACCCTGTGACTGGGGAAATCATACCTCCTCTACACACAGACAATTATGAGAGCACTAATATGCCGTTGATGCAAACACAGCAGTAAGTATCCACTTGGAACCGTAATTATTATTATTTTTAAAATTTTTTTATTTATTTATTTTTGGCTGCGTTGGGTCTTCGTTGCTGCGCGTAGCATTTCTCTAGTTGTGGCAAGCTGGGGCTACTCTTCATTATGGTGTGCGGGCTTATTGCAGTGACTTCTCTTGTTGCGGAGCATGGGCTCTAGGCATGCGGGCTTCAGTAGTTGTGGCACGTGGGCTCAGTAGTTGTGGCTTGCGGGCTCTAGAGCACAGGCTCAGTAGTTGTGGTGCATGGGCTTAGTTGCTCCGCGGCATGTGGGATCTTCCCGGACCAGGGCTCGAACCCGTGTCCCCTGCATTGGCATGCAGATTCTTGACCACTGCACCACCAGGGAAGCCCCTGGAACCGTAATTATTAATGCATGAATATATCTACTTAATGTCTTTGAAGACCGGACGTCTTCATTGTTGTTGCATTTATTTGTTTATAACTGGAGGAGAAAATAGCAAAATACTGATAGTGTAGATCCCAACCCCATGGTGCTAACCCAAATAAATAGAATTACCTTCAGGAAATGCTTTTTTTCCTTCACTAATCCAAACAAGATGACATTCCTCTTAATATTTAAGAAACTGGCACTGCTAATAAACTAATATATGCTTGCTCAAAGATGAGTTAATTGTGAAAGAGAGGCATGTCCTAAAGCATAGCAAATGGATTACTTTTTAGAACTATTAGAATTGTTTGGTTCTGTTAACCTATTGTTTTTTATGTTATTACCACAGATCTATTTAATCTAAATTTTTTGCCTCAGGGTTTTCAGCGTTTTTTTGTTTGTTTTTTGTCATTTGCTTATATATCAAAATGAGTAGTTCCAATTTTGGCTCAAAACACAATTTATTAGTACAGACCTTCTCTGTAGTGCTAGAAGGACTATGGTTAGAAAGCCTGGGAAGAGGCCTTTGTAAGGGATAGGTGTGGAGGAGATTGGTTGAGGAGACTGGCCAGTTGCTCTTGAGAACCCATGTTATATGTCTAGAAGCTCTGTTTTGGTATAAGGGAATTGTAGGTAAAAGTGTCATTTATTTCTAAGAACATGGCTGTTCTTTTCTTTTTTAACCGTATGTTAAAATGCGTTAAATTCAGTTTCTCCAAGGAAGTCACGGTTTGCTTTTGAGATCCTCCTTTTCAGTTTACTTTTGTAAATACAATGGATATACAAAAAAATCTGGCTCTCTCACCTCTCTCTCACACACACACACACACACACACACACACACACACACAAACGTTAGGATATGATATAAAAGTAACCTCTTACTGATTAAAGATTTATTTGGGAACCATATTGGGTATATTTTTCCATTGCAAATGCTTATTTTGCAACCGTGTAAAGAGCATGTGGTAATTTGAAGATTAAACAGTAATTAATATGAGTATTATAGACAGTCAGACTATAAGTTTGTCCAAAATAGTTTGGCAATCTAAAAATATTGTGAAAGCGCGCCCAGCTAGCTCGGTAGAGAATGAGACTCTTAAAAGTATTATGAATATTTTCCTGAAGTCCTCTAACAACACATACTTACTGTTGGACAGACCAAGGTATGTGTTTGTGTGCATGTATGTGTATGTGTGTTTGTGTGTAACTGATTCAAGTTCCATTAGCAGTAGGGAAAATTGCATACATTTAAAATTTTGAGTTTTGGAAACAATATTCTATCAGGGATGTAGATATTAAAGTCTCACAAAATTGAGTTGTACTGAATGGAACTGATGGATTTCTATGTCCTCTGATGGTTAGAGGGTCATCATGAAACCTACTTTACCAGGATTATTAGATACTGATGAGAAAAATTAGGAAAATTTCAAGAATATTGTAATAGTTCACAATTTAGCAATCTCTCCTGTCTTTTTTTAGATGAAAATTATGAGCAGCCTTATCATTCATTTTCAAAATGAAAATAATTAAAGAATTCTTTAAGGCTTCCATTTCTTATGTTCTTTACCCAAGAATGCTAGTGAAATGTCGATATTTATTCTTCAAAGGTTGATATATATTTTCAAACATGAAATGGTCAAATACATTTGAGAAACAGGGTATTTTGTTTTTTGTGTTTAAACTACAAGAGTTCTCAGAGCCTTTAGTGTGTTGATACGCTTTGTGAAAAGCACGGAAAAGATCGGAAGAGGTAACTCTATTTAAAGAACACAGTTTGGGAAATCTTCTATTGACAAAATAACAATGCTATCAAATTTTAGAGGAGAGAAATATTCATTATAATGAATAGGGGAAATTGAATATGTTTTTAAGTCAGTAAAACTTTAAGGGAGGAAAAAAAGCCTGGGTCACTTTTTAGATAACGCTTTCAGACCATATTTGTTGGGAATAAGGATAACTCTTTAAATTTTATTTTGATTCTATGTTCCTAGGACTTTGCAATTTTGCTACTAATATACAAGCAAAAGAAAACTTCCTACCTAGTTTATAACTAAATGCATCTTCCTGGTCCTTCCATAACCCCATCAAGACTGTCCTTATGTTGATCAAATCTCTCTATTTGCAAATGCAATAGGTTATTTTATTGAACTTACAACAATTTGACCATACATGTATTTTTAAGTCCAGAAAACCTTTATATTATTCAGATTTCTGCTAATGGAAAAAGTCCGTTAACTAGCACTTCTATATAAATAGGGTACATAGATAATTGATGATGTTCACAATGATTATTCTGAGGCACTGCAAGATCATCAAGTGTGTCTGACTCATCAGAGGAAAATTAAATTACATTCAATATAGTTTCAGTGTTGAGTTTATATTATCTTTCTTTTATTCTTGGAAATGGATAATATGTGCACGGTCTCTATGGTAACTCCCTATAAGCCAGAATATGTGATTAACCTCATTTTCCAACCATGCCAGATAATAGAGAATTTATTGTTTCAGATTCATCACAACTGTCCATTACGCAAATTCAGCTTTTACTCCTTCCCTGTTTTTGAAGGTTTATTTCAGCCCAAGTACACACATACATAAATATTTTGGTCATTTGGCTCGAACTGAATTCTCAATGTTAAAATGAGATATTCGATGAGGTATCACAATACTTGATAACCAGGTATATCCTTGGATAATGCTGCCTGTTATTTATCAATTAACCCTCTCTAAAAGGGCATGCATCTTCACATATTCATACTAATTGTACTGAATTTATCATTCATAAATAATGTGGCTAGCTACATTATTTTGTGTTTATTCTTCAGACTTGACAGCAGAAATATTCAGGCATAATAGGGCTGAAAGTTTATGTTGGCTTCTAAGTAAGACTCAAGAACATTCAAAGCTTTCCTTAAGAGCTGCATAGAAACTTGTTTGGGTCTTTGAAACAAGTCAGTCCACGAGGTATAGCGAACCTCGTAACAGCGAGGTCTACAGAACTCGCAGCAGTTGTGTAACGGGAGGCTGCCACAGTTATTTATCAATTACACAGTAATCTTTTCTTTTTGGTAGAATGCTTCATAGGACTCCAGACTGGCACCTTAAATTAGACAGTGAAAAAATGTTTAATCCTTTGCAGATGATAAAATCGAGATATGGATAAGAGACCTAAATTAGGTCAAAACTGAGATTAGGTTATTTACCAATCTTGATATCAAGTCAGGGATAGATAATGTGGTCATTGACCTCGAAGGATTTCTGATTCAGGTTATGGGCAAGGTGATTGAACAGATAGTGGAAAGGGAAACTGGATCAGGCCCAGGAGACGGGACACCTGCTAGAAAGGGGGGATTTCATTTTGTACAGTGTTCCTTCTACTTTTCAGATCAGAGAGACAATATAGACAGACTTTTAAAATTATCACATAATATAAAAATATAAGGCAAATTAATTTTGATCTTTGCTAACGTATTTATTGTTTCATAAACTTTTTTAAAATAAATTTATTTATTTATTTTTAATTTTGGCTGTGTTGGGTCTTCGTTGCTGTGCGTGGGCTTTCTCTAGTTGCAGCAAGCGGGGGCTGCTCTTCGTTGTGGTGCATGGGCTTCTCATTGCAATGGCTTCTCGTTGTGGAGCATGGGCTCTAGGCGCGTGGGCTTCAGTAGTTGTGGAACATGGGCTCAGTAGTTGTGGCTGTGGGCTCTAGAGCGCAGGCTCAGCAGTTGTGGCGCACGGGCTTAGTTGCTCCACGGCATGTAGGATCTTCCTGGACGAGGGCTCGAACCCGTGTTCCCTGCATTGGCAGGAGGATTCTTAACCACTGCGCCACCAGGGAAGCCCTCATAAACTTTTTAATTTTGGAATGATTTTCAAGCTACAGAAAAGTTACAAAGATAATACAGGGTTCCCAGAGATTCCCCCACCCCATTTCTCCCATCGTTAACATCGTACAGTCCCTTAGTTTGTCACAACTAAGAAACCAACATTGGTGCTTTACTATCAACCAGACTTCAGATTTTTTTTTTTTTTTCAGATTTCACTAGTTTTCCCCCCAGTGTGCTTCTTCTGCTCCAAGATTCTGTCTAGGACACAATAATTGGCATAACTCTTTAGTCTCTTCTGCTCTAGGCAGTTTCTTAGACCGTCCTTGCTTCCCATGACCTTGACAGTCTTGAGGAGCACTAGCCGTGTCTTCTGTAGAGTGTACCCCATCCCACGGTATAGTCAGGCTGCCTGCATCTGTACTTAATCTGTTATCTTTGTAGCTCAGTGAATATGTGTTACCATTAATAGGAAGAAGAATTTTTGCCTCTATAGGCAGTCCCCTGACTTAGTACAATTCATTGCTAGAAATCACATTCTAAAGTAATTCTTAAAAGTAAATTTGCTTTGCCCGAAGAATCATTGTTGTGATTAGAGGTTATGTTTTTGACCAAAGATGTAACATCAAAAATATAATACAGATTTGACTGATGTACTTCAAAGATAAGCTTTTGTAATGATTTAAATTAAGAAAGTCAAATTCCAAGGCATAGAATTTTAGGTCCTAAAAGGAATGTTGAGAGATAGTAGTCTA